GGGTGGCACTATATGTCAAGAATTAATACGCTTGCACTGTAATTCAGGATTTTGAGAGTTGCCCTGTTGAAAGTGTGTGGGTAAGGATAGAGTGGGGGGGGCGGGGAAGAAGGGGAAATTGTTGTGGGGGTATACTACAGTCCTCCAAACCAACCAGAGGAACTGGATGATGCATTTGTAGAACAGCTTGCTAAACTTTCACAGAGACAGGATGTAGTGATTATGGGAGATTTTAACTATCCAGATATTTGCTGGAAATCTAACTCTGCTTGACATGGGGCATCCCACAGATTCTTGAATAGTCTTGTGGACAACTTCATCTCTCAGAAGGTAGAGGTGGGAACCAGGGGATCTACTATCCTAGATTTAATCCTGACTAACAGGGAAGAACTGGTTGATGCAGTGAATGTTGTGGGATCCTTGAGGAATAATGACCATGTCAGCTTGGAATTTGACATAGAGAAAGATGTGAAACCAGGACATAGTAGGACTCATATCATGGACTTCAGGAAACCTGATTTCAAAAAACTCAGAGAAATATTAGGTAGGATCCCATGGCTGGAAATGCTGAGGGGGAAATCTGCACAGGAAGAATGGGTGATGCTGAAAAATGAAGTGCTTAAGGAACAATCGGAAACTGTTCCGGTAAGAAAGAAAGGTGGGAGACAGGTAATGAAGCCAAGGTGGCTGAACAAGGCAATCTCTGAAGAGCTGAGACTAAAAAGAGAAATGTACAGGAAATGTCAGGCAGGCAGGCAGGCATTTATTACGGCAACAAGCCATAGAACACACATGCTTAAATATAACATTCATAACATTCATATAACTGAATTTAGGACAGTAAAATAAAACTCTAAAAATACAGTTGAGTGTAATAAAATAAAAGAAGTACAGGAAATGGAAGGAGGGTCAGATTACTGAGGATGAGTACAAGAAGCAGGCTCGAATCTGTAGGGATGGTGTCAGAAAGGCTAAAGCGCAGATGGAGCTGAGGCTTGCGAGCGATGCTAAAAACAACAAGAAAATTTTTTATGCCTATGTTCGGAGCAAAAAGAAGAACAGGGATGGAGTAAGCTCATTGCTAGGGGAAGACGGTCAAGCCTTAACAAGGGATGAAGACAACGCGGAATTACTCAATTCTCACTTTGCGTCAGTCTTTAACCGTAAGGTGAGCTGTATGTAAACTGAAGAATGCAGGGCATATGAAGGAAGGAGAAACTGCCAGTCCACAGTAAGTAAGGAAATGTGTTGGGTTTTGATTAGAGAGCATCTAGCTGGCTTAAATACTTTCATATCTCCAGGGCCGGATGGCTTGCATCCCAGGGTGCTAAAAGAAATTGCAGATGTTATTTCAGAGCCTCTGGCTCTAATCTTTGAGATGTCCTCGAGTACTGGTGTTGTGCCAGAAGACTGGAAAAGAGCAAATGTTGTCCCAATCTTCAAGAAGGCTAAAAAGACAGACCCAGGAAATTACAGGCCTGTCAGTTTGACATCAATACCTGAGAAAATTCTAGAGCAGATTATTAAACACTCTGTCTGTGAGCACCTTGAACGGAATGAGTTAATTGGTAGTAGCCAGCATAGGTTTATCAAGAATAAGTCATGCCAGACCCAACCTTATCTCCTTTTTTGACAGAGTTACCAAAATGGTTGACTCTGGCAATGCTGTGGGTATAGTGTATCTAGATTTTAGTAAAGCATTTGACAGAGTTTCTCATGATATCCTTGAGGATAAGCTGGTTAAGTGTGGGCTAGATGGTGCAACTGTTGAATGGATTCATGGTTGATTGAAAAATCGTACCCAACGAGTGCTCGTAAATGGCTCTGCATCTACGTGGAGGGAAGTCTCGAGTGGAGTGCCGCAGGGCTCGGTCCTAGGCCCGGTGTTGTTCAGTGTTTTTATAAATGACCTGGAGGAAGACATAGAGGGGATGCTTATCAAATTTGCAGATGACACGAAGTTAGGTGGGATTGCTAATTCTAAAGAAGACAGAGTCTGGAAAGCGATGGCGAACCTCAACAGCATGATAAAAAGTAGAGACATCACCCTGCCAACAAAAGTCTGCATGGTCCAAGCAATGGTATTCCCAGTAGTCATGTATGGCTGCGAGAGTTGGACTATAAGGAAGGCCGAGCGCCGAAGAATAGATTCTTTTGAACTATGGTGCTGGAGAAGACTCTTGAGAGTTCCTTGGACTGCAAGGAGATCAAATCAGTCAATCCTCAAAGAAATCAACCCTGACTGTTCCCTGGAAGGCCAGATAATGAAACTGAAGCTCAAATACTTTGGCCACCAAATGAGAAGGGAGCACTCACTGGAGAAGACCCTGATGCTGGGAAAGATTGAAGGTCAAAGAAGACGGGGACGGCAAAGGATGAGATGGTTAGACAGTGTCATAGATGCAACGAACATGAAGTTGAGCAAACTTCAGAGGACGGTGGAAGACCGGAAGGCCTGGCGTGATCTGGTCCATGGGGTCGCAAAGAGTCGGACTCAACTGTGCGACTGAACAACATCCTGGGAAAGAGAAGGCTTATAGGGGACATGATTGCAGTCTTCAAGTATTTGAAGGGCTGTCATGTAGAAGATGGAGCAGATCTATTCTCTCTTGCTCCGGATTGTAAGACTAGATCTAATAGGTGAAAATTACAAGGGAGTTGTTACCGGCTAAATATCAAGAGAAACTTCCTAACTGTAAGAGTGGTTGAGCAGTGGAACAGTCTGCCTTGGGAGGTGGTGGATGCTCCTTCAGTGGACGTTTTCAAGCGGAGGCTGGACGACCAACTTTCGGGAATTTTGTAGATATGTAGGGTTATCTTTCAGCTATGCTCCTGCAGAGTGCAGGGGGTTGGACTAGATGACCTGCAAGGTCCCTTCCAACTCTAACATTCTATGATTCTATATCAGCTGAATTGTGTTCAGCAAAATTATTCAGGGTAGTCATTTGAGCCTGACTCCCTAACAGAATCTGAATTGGAAAATAGCTGTTCAAGTTCTGCAGGATTTTTTTGCTGATAAACCTCATGCAATCTAATTTAGAGGTCAGTTTAAGAACAGATATAAAAGATGTGAGAGACATCCCCCAATCAGAATTCTTTGGAGAGTTTCAGGTTGATTCCCTGGCTGATATCAACGGGCTGTTTGGGGTTGTGAAAGCCAGCTTCTATAGACTGGTCCATGGGGTTGTGAAGAGTTGGACTCAACTGTGCAACTGAACAACAACAACAACAAAAGTAGACTGTTTTGTTAAACCATGCAAGGGGAAGGTGAGAATTCCTTTGTTACTCAAAAGCCAAAAGAAGCTGTGATGTGATTGTTTCTTAAGAAGCCATCTTTGGCTAAGAATGATGCAGGCAGTTTTAAACCAGGGGCTTACTCTTTTCTGGGCAAGGCAAACAGTTGATGGCAGAATAACTTCAGACCCTCTTGGAGGACAATCTCGCCCTTTACCCATTTCAATCAGGTTTCAAGGCAAGCTATGAGTCACAATTGGAATTTATTTATTTATTTATTATTTTCAATTTATAACCCGCCTTTCCTGCACAGGCAGGTTCAAGGCGGTGTACAACAGGTTAAAATACAATAAAACACAGATACATAAGTGCAATACTATAAAATTCACATAGCAAACAATATACATACAAACTTCAGTTGATGAATGATCTTTGTAAAGGGATAAGGATGGTGCATCCAAACAAATTTTATTAGATCTATCAGTCAATCATAGTCTCTTGCTATACTTTCTGGAGTCTACATTAGGCCTAAAAGAGACAGCACTGCAATTGTTTTCTTCTGTCATTGTAGACATGAGTCAAAGAGTTTCCACTGGAGAAGCTTGGGATGATTTGTGAAGTTCCACAGGGGGCAATTATTCCTTTATGCTCTTTAATATTTATGTTAAACCATTGAATGACAACATCCATAGCTTTGGAGTTGGCTTTTGTCAGTATGCTGATGATATTCAGCTCTATAGTTCTTTATCTAAACCTTTGGAAACTTCAGTGATCTGGGCCGAGGCCTTGAAGCTGTGGTCTGATGGGTGAACAACTAGAACATGCATCCAGGCAAGATGGAAGTGATGTTGATTGGAAAGGCAAAAATGGTGACATATAGTGATTTGCCAGTCTTGAATTGGGCTAAGCACTCTTTAACAGATTAAGTAGAAGGTTTTGGAGTGATCCTGGATGCAGCCTTTTTTTCTGAGGCATGTAAGTTGTTTTATTTCAGAGGGCCTTTGGGAGTTACTAATGGAATAGTGGGCTTTATGGAAGACAGAAGACTGTAGAATATTATGTGCTTCTGATACTTTTGTTGTTGGGTGTGGGGGGTTGCAACCTGTAAGTCACCGTGGGTCTTCTGAAAAGGCACGGTATAAACAGTCTGGGTATAACATTTAGATGCATAAATACATTCTAAGGAAACATGCATAGGATAATGCTGCACACCTTCCTTCTCTTTTGAGAGGTTGTAGTTTACATTTTTATAGGGAATTCCACACAACATATGTGCCTATGGGTGTCACAATAGATCCTCATGGTATTATACCCTTGCAGTTTGGTATTTAAAATCTACTGAAAGGTTTATATTTATTTTTTATTTTTTTTACAGCAAATGACTTTCTGTTCCTCATGCAGTGTCTACTGCTATGGTACATTTTTTATTGTTTCACTAAGAAATAAAGTGAGATTTACAAATGTGCTATATGATGGAATCTCACTTCATTTGACTCTCCCACTCACTGCTATTGTCCATATTTTTGTACTGCATTGGTGCCCTGTCAGTAGTCTAGTGTCCTGTTGCAGAAAAAAATGGAGGAGGGAAGTCTGCAGATCTAATATTATTTGATTTATTACAGGAGGTAATATAAGTTAAACCAGTCTGATCAGCTGCTTTATTTTACTGCCTCTCTTTGTAATACTCTTTCATGTAGATAATGATGTGAAAGTGCTCTCTGTGTTTTGTTTTGTTTTAAATCAAATAACTTGTCCTCTATTTCTAGGACCGAGTCAGTGGCTGAGAAGATGTTGACTAACTGGTTTGCTTTCCTCCTCCATAAATTCCTAAAGGTAAGAGAGTATCTGTCATGTCAGACTGGGTCTTTTCCTTTGCTCCTGGTAATACAGTTCTTGTTGATTGCCTTAGCCTTTCAAATATCTTGTGGAGCCAAATCAAGGAGTCATTATCAGGACAGTGTGGAGACAGGCTAGATAAATTTTAAAAAATCAGAGTTGTGCAGCTGTTTTAAAATTAAGCTTATGTGCTACAATTTGTCTACCTCAGATGAGCTCTGCCTTTACCCATGTCTGTGTCCTCTTATGTTCTATGTCAAACAGGAATGTGCCGGGGAGCCACTCTTTATGCTGTACTGTGCCATCAAGCAACAGATGGAGAAAGGCCCAATCGACGCTATTACCGGGGAGGCGCGTTATTCCCTGAGTGAGGACAAGCTGATCCGGCAGCAGATTGAGTACAAAACTCTAGTGAGTGGGTGCTTTACCTGAATAGCTTATGCTGTGTCACTAGCCATAAACTGACAGGGCATGTGTAAGTGCCCTAGGTAGGGCATGGGTTGAGTGGGGAAGTTTCTCCCTCTTCCAGTTCGTAGTACAATAGACCGTTTTCAGGATGAATCATATTTTGGCAAACTCTGAGCATATTCAAGCAGACAGGCTTGTTGAGAAAAAAGGGAAGGCCTTGTCAGTCTACATGGAACATCACTGTGAATGAAATTAACAGAAAAGTTGTTCTTATAGTTTTATACTGGCTGATCACTTTCAGAGACAAGACAAATCTTCATGAACCTTTGAGTAAGTACCAGCTGGAAGTAGGCATAAATTATCTTAATTGAAGTCTCATCCTCAATCTCAAAACTTTGGATGCTGTGATTTCATTGGCAATGCTTTACTTGATGGTTGAGCTGAAGAAACAAACCTGACTTTTGAAAGGACTATGCACTTGATACATGTGAAATTAAAAATGTATGCACTAGTATGAGAAACAGCTGCAGTATCTGTACATTTACCTAATGGTGTGAACATTATCTCTCCATATTTCCAGGCCAAGGCCCCCACATGCTTTTTGTGAAGCAGGAAGTGATTGTGCTCATATACAGTATTGTCAGCTTCTCAATTTAAATCGCACTAAACTGTAGGAATTCATTAGACATTAATGGGGATTACAGGGTTAAAAATGCCTCCATATTATGATAAAAATTTTGATTGGTATATTTTCCCTAACATTTCTGGGATTGGTTTGATATTATTAGTATCTCCCTTTTCTAGATATTAAACTGTGTGAATCCTGACAATGAGAACAGTCCTGAGATTCCTGTGAAGGTGCTCAACTGCGATACCATCACTCAGGTCAAAGAGAAGATTCTGGATGCAGTGTATAAAAATGTCCCATACTCACAAAGACCTCGAGCTGTCGATATGGACTTAGGTAGGATGTCCTTTTCTTGTGAAAAGGGAAAGGATTTGGGAAAGAGAGCATGATGCCAGGATTTCCTTTTGAGATGTTTACCATATTCAAGGAGACAATGGTTCATGTTTAGATCAAATCCACAAGTAACAGTAAAGCAAATCCATTACTAGGACTAGGGAAGTTTGCAATGAACATGTCAGCGAGCAGACACACCACTGTCAACTGCTGCAATCACTTGTGAATTGAGCCTCAGATTTCCTTGCTTTGTTGCTTTTCTTGTTGCTTGCTTGAATTAAACAGAATTGCATCTGCACAGTAGCCATGATGGGTTTGATTCCCCACTCCTCCACTTGCACCTGGCTGGATGACCTAGGGCAAACCATAGTTCTGGCACAGCTGTTCTTGAAAAAGAGCAGTTTCTGTCAAGAGCTAGCTCACAGTAGTTTCATTTCCCTCTGCCTTGTAAGTGCTTTTATGGCTGCACAGCAGTCTTCCCTCTAAGCTGAGTTAGTGTGAGCTAGCTCACAGTTTTTTAACCTGTGGCTCACACATTTTTGTCTTAGCTCAGGAAGGATGGCTCCAGAGCAAACTAATTTATGCAGTAGCCAAACCTGCTCACAACTTTAATGCCAGTAGCTCACAAAGCAGAATTTTTACTCACAGGACTCCATAGCTTAAAGGGAGCATTGTTGCACAGTAGAGAAGAAGAAGAGAAGAAATTGGATTTATACCCCACCCTTCACTACCCAAAGGTGTCTCAGAGCGGCTTAAAAACTCCTTTCCCTTCCCCTCCCCACAACAGACACCCTGTGAGATAGGTGGGGCTGAGAAAACTCTTGACAGAAACTGCTCTTTTTCAAGAACAGCTGTGCCAGAACTATGGCTTGCCCAAGGTCATCCAGCCAGGTGCAAGTGGAGGAGTGGGGAATCAATCCCAGTTCTCCCAGATTAGAGTCCGTGCACTTAACCACTACACCAAACTGGCTCTCTTTCAGTAGGTGAAATTAATTTATCTCCAATGGTCATGGATGGTTAAGTCAAGTAATTATATGATGCTACAACTCCCATAAGGCTGTGCGAAAATTTACATGCAAGCAGAAAATAGCACAGGCTTAGATGGACACCAAATGGCAAGACTTTTTTAAAAAAAACTCACTATATTTATAACAACTGTGGTTTACTCACTCTTTCTTTAAATTATTGGAAGATCTGTGAGGTCTGAGAACATGTGCAGCACTGTATTGTATTGTTCGAAAACATGACAATTAACCCTCCAAACAAGCTCAAGCTACTGATGAACAACAGAACTGCTTGAAGAAAAGTTGGCTACCTGCTCTCAACTGGTGTGCAGAATGTGAGCCAAGCTGACAGATGCTCAAGCTAATTAGGAATAAGTAAACATAACCAATTAGTGACCAAGCTTTTGACTTCAACAGAAACCTTCTTCAGGGTGAATTATAAGCTTTAAAAAAGAGCGGGAGATCTTTTTCTCTTCCACACTTTTTTGGGTTTTCTTTTGTTTAACTTTTGGTCTGAAGGTTCTGCTGAGTTCCATACTTTGCTCACTACTCTGTGCCATGTTAGGCTGCTTTCACACACATTGGATAATGCACTTTGAATGCACTTTAGTGATCATTTGCAACTAGATTTACACAGGAAAATCCAGATGCAAATAATCACTGCAGTGCATTCAAAGTACATTATCCAATGTGTGTGAAAGCAGCCTTAGTAGGTCCTAATCAAGGTATTACCATAATGTTGCTTTTTTATTTTTTTTCCTGTTGACCAGCTTGATTGCAATTTTTGAATATTTATAACAAGAATAATTATAGTTCATATATGTATAGCACATCTTTATATATGCTTAACCTAATGGGGAAGGGTGGGGAGATAATTAAAAAGATAATCCAGTGTCTGAACTTGCTAAATCAAATAGTACCTTCCTCTACTGGCTCTAAAAGTCTAAAATGTGTAGCCTTTTCAGATTATCATACTACTCCTAGTCAAGCTTTACAAAGCCCCTTTAGGAAGCCCTCCATTGGAGTACATGAAGGCAAACATGGATATGACAGGCATACAGAAATCTCAGTGCATTTCCAACTTTAGGGTTAGTTATATTTCAGCTGAATGGAACCAAGCTATACTAAAAGTATCAATTCCTATTGTGCACAATTGAAAAGGAGAAGAATTCAACCCATTTCAGAGAACAAAAAATCCTAACTTTAAATATATGCTGATGGGGTCTGAATTGGCCAAGACAGCAATGGAAAGAGATCTTGATGTTGTAGTAGAAAGCTCAAAGAAAATTTCTACTCAATGTATGGCAGTGATGAAAAAGGCAAACTCCATGCTGGGAATTATTAAGAGAACATAAGAGAAGCCATGTTAGATCAGGCCAATGGCCCATCCAGTCCAATACTCTGTGTCACACAATGGCCAAAACCCAGGTGCCATCAGGAGGTCCACCAACCGGGCCAGAACTCCAGAAGCCCTTCCACTGTTGCCCCCCAAGCACCAAGAATACAGAGCATCACTGCCTTAAACATAGTGTTCCATCTATACGTTGTGGCTAATAGCTACTGATGGACCTCTGCTCCATATGTTTATCTAATCGTCTCTTGAAGCTGTCTGTGTTTGTAGTCACCACAGTGAATTCCACATTTTAGTAAAGGAACTGAGAATAAAACAGCCAATAATGAGGAAAGGTGAAAGGGAAAAAAGTTTAGAAAAAATAATGACTAAGGGGAAATATGGTAGGGGTATATAAAATTATGCATTGGATGGGAAAAGTGGACAGAGGGAGCTTTTCTCCCTCTCCTGTAATACTGGAACTTAGGGGCACCTAATGTAGTTCATGGTCAATAAGTGCAGAGTAGACAAAAGGAAATACTTCTTTACTCCATGAGTAATTAAATTGTAGTGTTCACTGCCAGTGGACATAATGGTAGCCACAAGCATAGATGGGGTTAACAGTGAATTAGATTCATGGAGGAAAGGCTCATCAGTGGCTATTAGCCATGGTGACTAAGGGAACCCCCATATGCAGAGGCCACAGACATCTGAATGCCAATGTTAGGAGGTGACATTAGGGGAAGCCCTCAGTCTCTGTGCCATATTTGTTGGCCTCCAGGGAAATGGCCCTCTGGTTGGCCTCTCTGTAAAACAGAATGCTGGACTAGATGGATAACTGATCTGATCCAGCAGTGCTGTTCTTGAGTTCTTATAAATTATTTCCTGTTGAGAAATCTGTTTTTGTGTCCTTGACTGCCTTATATGCTCTTGCCTGCTCAACAGAGTGGCGTCAGGGCCGAATAGCACGTGTGGTCCTCCAGGATGAAGATATCACCACCAAGATTGAGGGTGACTGGAAGCGGTTAAACACCCTGATTCATTATCAGGTAAGCAAGCAAAACCTAGCATGTAACCTGCAGAAATCAGCTAAGCAGAAGGCAAGGCAAAAACAGAAATTTAATTCTGCAGCAGCTTTTCTAACAAGACAGACAGGGAGGGTCATATTCTTATGATAAATCAGAATAGTTCAGTGTGTTCACGTATTAAAAGGGAAAACAGCTCTGACACACATCTCACAGGAACAAGCAGAGCTAAAAATTGACTAAATTAAAAATGCCAGTCGTGTTCACAAGACAGACATCATATGCAGAGGAGCTGAGCTTCTGGCATTAAGGATGTGAAAGCCCATGCAGTCGCTGCCATGTCAGAGACCTAGGACTGGAGTGACAGAGGAGTGCAGCACTGAGGGAGAGGCAGAATCTGCCATGGGCTGTAGATTACACAGCTGAATGGAGCAATAGTCAGAACAAATGTTGCAGGATATCAGACTGTACAGGCAATTGGTTTTCCACCAATTCGCACACAAAGCCTTTCTATAATTCTGTTTAGGATGACTGGCCCATTGCATATGTCACAGTCTTCATATGGAGAAAAACTGGGCTCAATTCCCTGCTTTCCCACAGAACCAGTCCGACTTCCAGCAGCTCACTCAAGTTGCATTCTCCCCTTACTTTGCCATAGGAATTCCATTGTTCAGTCTACACTGGAAAAGCTGCACCAACTGAAAAGAGGTTAATGTTGTAGTGCTGTAGATTTAGGAGTATGAAGGCACAGCCAGGCCCATCAGCTTGCCCATGTCTGGAGTACTACATAGGAAATGAATGTATTGTAATGGAACTGCCAGCTCTAGGTGAACAGAATTCCAGATGTGTTGCACCAGAAATCCGATGTGCTTTATCATCTCTCTCAATGGACTTGTCATTCATACCAACCTAAACCTCCCAGTTAGCAATTTTGCCATTTATTTACCCGGAAAGAGGTGGGATATTTATTCTTCTCAACCAGGTGCTTTGAACTTAATTGAAGATGGGTGAGTGATTTTTATCAAATGTGCATCATACCAGGAGATCACACCAATGAATATTATTAGTCTTTTTGACCCACACATTCAGTGTCAATTGTCTTGGGTTCAATAGCTTCTCAAGTAGAAGAAGAGATTGGATTTATATCCCGTCCTTCATTCGGAGTCTCAGAGCGGCTTACAAACTCCTTTCCCTTCCCCTCCCCACAACAGACACCCTGTGAGGTAGGTGGGGCTGAGAGAGCTCTTTCCAGAACTGTCCTTGAGAGAACAGATCTGACAGTTTGAACTCCAGTTACTCCTTCAGGAAAGTCTTTCTACTTTTGACATGGCTTAAGTTTACTCATACAACCATTTTGGTGACCTCTACTGTTCTCAGTATTCAGAGATCCACAACCCAGAGACAGTAATTTCAGTTGCTTGTTTGGGGGGGAGGGTCAAAGTTCAGCTCTTATCTTGTAGAGTAGTCCACACCCATGTTAGAACAGAAGTTTCTGGTTTCTGTCCCACCAGGTAAGGCCCAATAAACACACCAATTACATATAAAATGTTCAACAGTGGACATGTTTTATTTAGTTGTTAGTACACCAACCACATGTGTTGTTTGTAAACAGGGTTGCCATACCTCCCAGATTGACAGGGGTTACCCGCTATTTGGGGGGTTGAACCCATTGCTAGCCAGCTAGCCAGCAGGGGAAGCCCTGCCCCCAAGCCCCAAAACCCACAGCTACCCCTCTCCCTTCTCTCTTGAGAGAGAGGAGGGAGAGGGATGGCTGCAGACCCACACCCAATCTCCAAGCACAAAGGCTGCTCGGAGATCGGGCATGTGGGTCCCTTTGGCTGCCTGCACTTAAAGAGGACCATTTAAGTGCAGGCAGCCAGGGTGAAAGAGCCTCTCATGCCCAATCTCTGCTGGGAGATCAGGCGGGGCCCTCCGGCTGCCTGCACTTAAAGGGTTCCCTTTAAATGCAGGCAGTTGGGGCAAAATGCCCCACCCCCTCTGGGAACACCCCCAAAACTCCCCCACTGGGGACGAAGATGGACCTGGCTACCCTAGTTCCCCTGGAGAAAAATTACTGCTTTGGAAGATGGGTGGTATGGCATTATACCCACTGATGTCCTTCCCCTCCCCAAACCCTGCCTTCCCCAGGCTGCACTCCCAAAATCTCCAGGTATTTCCCAATGCAGAAATGGCAATTCTATCGTAAAAGAAAACCTCTGAAGAGAAAATAATTACAAAGCATTTTTCACTTTTAATGGTACACAAATTCATTGTTGCTGAGTTCTGTATAACAATTACATTATAAACAAGCAATTTTTAAATTGGTGATATAAGAGACCCAAGATATGTACAGAACGGGTTGGAGCCCATCTTAAATTTCCATGACCTCCTTGCTTCCTTTCCATCAATGGCAGACCAAACCCCCCCCAAAATGCTGCTCTTGGGGGTCAGGGGGCCCCAGTAGCAGCATGAAGGTGAATTGAATGGCTGCCATGGGAGTGGGGAATTGACAGAAATAACCCCACCCCATATGCATGGATCTTTTTGACAGGATCCAAATCATTACATTCAGCCTGCTTTATAAATTTCTCCAAAGGATTCAGACTTGTAATGCGTGCAAATGACAGTTGTCTAGACATGGACTGCATGGCAAAGGAATTCAATGAATTTTCAATTGCATGTGCTGATTATGGTGAAGTAGAGAGAGATCTGCTAGGCTAAGAGAGAGGATTTTAACCCTTTCAAGATAAGTTTGCCTTACCAATAGTGGCCAGATAACGTGGGGGGGAGGCATGGCTGTTTGACCCGAAGCAAAATAAAGCACGTTAGCCTGATCACACGGTCCCCTACGGCTTCATGCTTAGGCTGTTAGCTGGCAATCACACGGCGATGCTGGAGCGTAACAAAGAAGTGGCGCAGCAAGCGTTTCACATTTGTGTGCATGCGCAGTTCCACGGAGTAGCACTGCTTTCAGTTACATGTTTGTGCACATGTGCTTACGGAAAACATCTGGTTTGCGACAGGACGTGGACAGGCACTGGATACCACAGGATACTAGCGCTCCTGCGATCAGACGCCCGCCCCTGCCCCTTGTTTTCCGGATACTAGTGCACTTTCTGCTGTACTTTTTTACTGCACATCTTCGGCGGGATGCCACGGGTTAGCCACGGGCGCGCTACGTTTCCCAGATGTTGCGGTGTGATCGCACACCAAAAATCCGCCTGACATTCATGTCTTTAGCGCAGCAACTTCTCCGTGTGAACGGGACCAGTAGTTGGTAAATATTTGACAGGTGAAGGAGGGACTGAAAGAGAAGAGTGGCTGATTATGTCTCAGATGCATTAGATTTTCCTGGAGGGGTAAAGAAGAAGGCTCATGATGAGCAAAGCTTATTGATAGGTAGGTCAACTCTCTGTCTTCAGCTCTTTTCCCCATTGGACTATTTTAATCATCCAGATCTTTACGAAGGGAATAGAATATACTGGGTTCGACACACATTATTGATCAGCTCATACTTTATTGTGATAACAACTCAAACTGAAGACAAACTAGCGGGACGGGAGCCCTGCTTAAATTCGCACCCAACACCACACCCAACACCACACCCAACACACACACACTGCCCATGATAGGTTATTTGTGCTTGCTTCGGCAGCACATATACTAAAAAATTGGAACAATAGGTTATTTACAGAGGCACTCCTAGGCAATAGGTTCATCCCAGGAATCCAGCAGTCTATTGTTCTGTGACTCCAAGCTGGGTCTGACGAGGTTAGGCATAGTACACAACAGGGAACATGCCCAGAGGGTGGCCTGATGTAACTTCCATCTCTGAAGCTAAGCAAATCTGTGCCTAGCCAGTATCTCAGTGAGAGGCTGATTGGGAACCCCATGAATGCAGCTCTAAGCTTCTTGGAGGAAAGGCCAGATACAGCATGACAACCAAATGCAATGCAATCACTCATTTTAACTTTAAACCAACACTTGTCTTAGTCTGTTGTCTGGCTGCATCTGTGATCTTACTTAATGTCAGATACAAATACAAATATTGTGAGTTACTTCTGTTTTCCACCCAAAGTCATCTGACCATTTGCTTGATAGTCCCCATTCCTATGTTTTTCTACATACATTCAGCGTTAGGAACTGTTATGCTTATTTATTTATTTATTTATTTATTTAGAACATTTTTATGCTGCCTCCCTAGGAACCTACCCAAGAGTGCTTACAAAATAAAAAATAATAAAAACAGAACATTAAAAGATGTTAAAATCAGCATCTAAAAAGCAACAACTCAACATACAAACATAAGAACAGACTACAGACAGCTTAAAATAACAGTTTCTGGGCTAAGATAGTGCTAAAAATATCAGCCCACTAATTAAAAGCCTAGGTGCACAGAAATGTTTGGGCTGCCACCCAAAAAGAAGCATTGTAGACACCAGGCATTCCACAAGCAAGGTGCCACTACTGAAAAAGTCTTGTCTCTGGTTGCCAGCCACCTCTGAGCACAGAGAGCAGGGCTTCCGAGGCAGATCTTAACTGGCAGCCTGGATAATATAGGAGGAGTCAGTCCTTCAAGTACCCTGGCTCCAAGACAGTAAGAACCAGCACTTTGAATTGTGCCTGGAAACAAATGGGCAGATCTTTTAGCACTGGGGTAATACAATCCCTGTATCCTTCCCTGACAATAGCCCATTTGCTGCATTTGGGACAAGCTGAAATTTCCAGACTATTTTCAAAGGTAGCTTCATGTAAAGAACATGGCAGCAGTATCTATCCTGAATGTAATCAGAGTGTGGATCACTGCTTTTCAAAGAATGGCTGTGGCTGGAAAGTTAGACATTGAACAAGTCAGGGATTTCTGCTACCTGGGGACTGTTTTCTTCTTCTTCAAACGTCTCCTTAGGGTAGCCAGGTCCGCTCATTGCTCTGGTGAGGAGATTGGGGGGGGGCGCATTCTGGGATGTCCCAGATGTGATGATGTCACCCAGAAGTGATGTCATCACACCAGGGACATTGCACAG